CGACACACCTGGGGTATATGTCACCGCCCTTGAGAGCCGGTTCGTTCCAATTCTTGAACCGTCATTCGAGTGTTCGCTTGTTACAAGCTGCATCATGTCTTCTGGTAGTTCTGCACCCTCGTCGTTCCACCAATAGTGCAGTACATCACTCTGCCAGCGATCAAGATCACGGATCTTGAGTCCCCGACTCTTGGTGAAGGTCGTATGGAGAAGCAGCGCATTCACTGACGATAGCCTAAGCTGGTGCAAAAGCCATCTATTAATAAAATCACCCTTGCCGCCCTCACCATGATCCAGCATGAGCCGATCGATGGAATACTCTTTGGACGCGAGCTGCATGCGGCTTGGTTTCACCGGGTCAGTCACCGGTAGGGCTGCTGCTGCCTTGAGTGCATCACGCGGTGTGAGGGGGAATTCGTCAGCCATAACGTGTTCAGGCTGGCTCAGAAGAACAGGGAATGTGGGATGTGCAAGATCTGTCCGACTGCGTAGGATTACGGAAGCGTCATCGAGTTCTATGTCCTCATACCCATTTTCAGGATTGAGAAGATAAGCAACACGTGACGACAAATGCTTCTGCATCACTCCCTTTTCCTCACACAGCTTTCGGAGATCAGTTACTTGTTGCTGCAGGCTGGTGACACTATTGCGCATTTCTTGCTCCTCCAGTGGGAACTCGTCGAAAAATTCGATCTCAGCCTCGTTCAGCTCCATGCCCGCGGCTGCCTTCATCTTTAATTCTCCCTCATGCTGCTCCTTGAGAAATAGTAGCTCGTCAAGCTCTTCCTTGGCGTTCTCAAGGTCACCGACTGCAGCCATGAGATCCAGATACTTAGGATGCAGATCCTCGGATGGGCCATCCGGAGATATGCCCATAAGATCATTGGGAACATTCTTGTCTTGCTCCTGCTTTTTGTCGTCTTCAGGAGGCTGTTCGAGAGGAACGGCTTGACCAATCGCGAGCAAACTAAAGAATCGAATCTCTAGCCTGTTGAGGATTTCCTCTTCTTCGTCCAAGGTGATCTCAAGATCTTCGTAATCGTTTTCATAGGCTTGGTATTCAGTTCTCAGCCGCTGCAGTTCTGCCAGATGTCGTTCCAGGGTGGCGGGTCCTGTTACTATCTGCCCTTGTTGAGCAATCAGCATAGGTCGAACGACACCCATGAATGTATTGTCTGCATCATCCCTCTGTCTCCTCAACTCTCTTAATCTTTTTCGCTTCTTGGCCATTTGACTCTTGATATCGTTCAACTTGACCCGCTGATCTTTGAGTTTGACCCAGAGCAGCTCCAAAGTATCTTCAGGAGGGGCAGACCCTTTCGATTGATGACTTCTGCTACCCCTGGTAGTTTCCAGGACAGGATCGAGGCTTGTGCTCAATTCCAGGCGATCTTTCGGAGCACGATCACGCTCGTATTCAGATATCCAGTTGGTTATACGAGTTGTCATAGAAGTCTTGCGATTCCCTCCTTGTGGATTCAAGTTGGATGCTGTAGGATATAGAGGGGGAAACTGACGCGAGTTTCGGAGGACAAGAGAGTCTTCATCGGACAGAGAATCAGAGAAAGATACCTCATCATCAATTAACCGCGGGATTGTATGGTTTGAAGATTGAGAGGTAGAAGTGGTATCCCGAAGTTCGGGCTGAGTTAATGCTTTTGGGGGCAGGCGGAAGGCCAGATTACTCTTATTTCCGGACTGATGGGCGCTGTGTGGTGGTCCGAAGCTAACAAATCCTCTCGGTGGTCTCAAATTTGGTGTTTGAGTCTGAGTGGGTGCATCACCGGGAGAATTGGGTGTAAAACTCAAGTTCATCCGTGGTGGCGCCGGCAACGTGTGCTGAGAGAGCCGTTGTGGAGGTGGAGCCGTGTCAGGGTTATAGGTGAATGGTGGTCGTAGATTTGTATTGGTGATGGAATTGCCTGGTGGTGGTTGAGGTGGAGGTGGAGGCGGCGGTAGGTAGAACGAGGGGCGACTTGACGCGTGCGGGGATGATGGCGATGATACAGTTGGAGGCCGAAGATAGAATAGAGGTCGCGCAGGCGGTGGAGGAGGAGGCGGATTGTCAAGGCCAGGTTTCCATGGTGGAGGAGGATGAGAAGGCGGAGGCGGGCCCGACATGTCTATTACGCTGGCCTGAGTAGACGGTGCTTGATTGTTGGAAAACACCGTCTCAACTTCGGACATAGGGAAGCTTGTCGAGACATGAATCGAGTTTGATGGCGGTAGAGCATCGTGGTTCGGATAATGCTCCTCGCCCTCAAGCTCGTGCTGGTAGTGGGAATTGCCATGAGTCCCAGGCACGGGAAGAGGCGAGGTCGGAGAATGAGGATATTGGTGATGCGAGTTTTGGTGGATTCGGGCGTAGCTCGAGTGGTTGTGGTTGTCGTACGCTACAGCCTCCATCGACGTACGTAAGATCAACAGAGCTAAGATAAAGAGACGAACTCATTAGAACTGGAGGCGGCCTGTCCATTTCTCTTCTCAGATAAACGGATGCGACGATCAATGCTAAGTCGATCGTTGAGGCTCTCTGCAAAGACTCTCGACGAAAGGGAGAGGGAAAGGGAGATGACAAGGAAATGAGAACAGCCAAAGCCAGCCAGCCAGGGATTTGATTTGCTTTTTCTTCATTTGGCGAGAGAGCATAACTTGGGGCGGACGACATAGCTCTCTGGCGGCTGATTTGCACGTTGGAATGAGATTGTGACACACAACAAGGTTCAGTTTCTAGGGGAAACATCCCGGCGTCCGGGGGGCAGCGGCCACTAAAGGCTAGCGACAGTTAGCGCCTGAATGTGAGGAAAATCCATGTGGGAGCTTCTGATTTATCCATTGGCGATTACGCGACAAAGCAAGTCCAGCACTTGTCATCTCATGATCTGGACTGACCAAATAAGAACGTGACAGCAGAGCGAGGGAGGGGGAGCTATGAGTCTACACAGATTGTGCAGGAAATGCTGGGCCAGTGATAGTGACTGTGTCAGATTATACTGGGGGCTGTTAAGGAGCGGAGGTCCACTACGGGTATGCAGCCTGGTTACCAAAATTACCCATAGCATCCATGGATGGGCTTATGATGTCCCGTATAAACAAACGGTGGAGAGAAGAAGGAAGATATCCACGTCATTGGATCATGGTAAACCGTTCAACGGACGGGAGCTTGTCAATAAGTTGCGCCTCCTCGTGAGCTTGCTCCCATATCTTGACTGAGCTTGGTCACCAGACTTTTGAGGCCAGCTCAGATTCCACTAATGGTGGATGCTCAAACACACACTGTGCTCTTCCACATCCACTTATCCCGTGCTAACTTAGCCTAGCAGATGCTACTAGAGCCTCGTCGTTGTAACTCTACCTCGACACCAACAACAACCTACCACCCTGCAGACATTCCCGATGGACGCCTTCCAAAATCGCTCACTCCCCTCCAATTCACCCACTTTGGTCCAATACGCTCTCGGCTCTTTGCATATTGCCCATGTCCGTTCCGTCTTGGACTGTGTATTCGAAAGAGAGGGGCGTGTCTTGCAGGTTATGCTCAGTGCCTAGGTATTCAACATGAAAAGCCCATATCATTCACTGCTTTCTGCCCTCTCGAGAGCCCACAACTCGGCGTCTCAACAGGTGTTATCTTGGACGGAACTGCATCTCCTTCAGGCCTTTCCCTTGTTTCCCCTTCAGTTGCTTGCTAAGGGTCTCGTCATGCGAGTTTGCAGCTCGACTCCTCCGAGAACCCCTCCATGAGTCCACCTCCTCCACTTGTTGCATCCATCCCCACTCGACTCGTTCTGTTACTCGCTGGCTGATGCGCGACATTAAAGAGATGCTGGACTGCATAGTCAGAAGCGACTGATAAGCTGCGGTTGCCGCTCAGTTGTCCACCCTCTGAGCCCTTCCGGTTTCTACCTCTTGTTTCCCGTACCGATCTATTCTTCAAAGGTCGACCGGAACTGGGAGATTCTGCTGTGACTCAAAGCTCCAGCTTCAGCTCCAGCTTACTTACTGGCATCAGGCTGCACGCCATTGCTTCAGGCAGTCCTGCAACTCCTGCAGCCAAGCAGTTTTTCTGCCCTTCTTATTGCTGGTATTCGGTTGTCATCATCGCGTATCCTGCGGGCAGATGCTAGGCTTCCTGTTGTACCACCACCTCGACCAACCCGCCTTCAACAACGGCCTCTGACTCCTAGTTCACCAGCAGCACCACCACAAGAGGCGCACGAGATACCCCTTCAGCATACTTTATGCAACTCTGAAGCAACAATCCTGGTTTTGGCGGCAGAATCTCACCTGCCTACCCCGACCTACATTACGCCACAGGCAACAAATCCCTACAGGACACTGGTCAAGCTCCCCCAGATACAGGAAGCCGGTATAGCACTAAAGCAAAGACGAGACAGTCGTCTCAGCGGAATCTCTCGAGTACTTGCATCTACAACAATCAATCCAATTCTATCTCGATCTACGCCAACGCACCCCAAGGAACCCAACGAGAGCCCGGATCTTGGTCCTCGTGCAACCAAGCTGCAGCTCCCTTATCCAGCCTCCATCCCGAATCAAGAGCTGAGCCGCATTTTTTGGTTAGCCAGCTAACTTGTCGGTTTTGCGGTTCCACTGTACTGTACTCTTGCTTATTTCTACAAAAGCCCCCAACCCACCATCTCCCCAGTTGTCGGTACCGCTTTACTTCAGTTCGTTATTCAGTTCGTTACGTTCTGAACAACTAACGAGGCCTCGAGTTTTGGAGGCGAAAGAACTCATAGTTCTTTACATCAAACACTTCCTTTTTCCTAGTGGTGCAAAAAATATTTATGCATTCTTTGCACGTTTGACGTTTGACGTTTCGCATATTGATTACTGCGGTATCATATATCCACATCAGTTTTCACACTTGGTGTGGGTATCAACTACATACCTATCTTGGCCTCCTCCTCGTTGAACATATTTATTTCAAAATCTGCAATCGATTCGTGGTATTTAGACGTGTTGCTTGCATGCGCAAAATGCTACTATGTATCAAACAAGCAGACCAGGATGGAGCGCGTGGTCGAGTTGGATATGGAATCCAGACTACCAGCAATATTATCGCCACAGAGAAGACGCTGCCGGTGTGTATTTCTACATAATCTTCCCATCTCTCTTCCAGACTTACTAACCAAAGTCACGTAGGCAACTCGGATATTCAATGGCAGAGCGAATTTGAGTCTGCTCAGAATAGAGAGGTCCCCCGAACCCCTGTGCAAGTCCCTGCACAAGTTCAACAGATGGACCAGGTGGACCAGATGACCCAGCAGTTTGGTTCAGTCAACATACAGAGCCCTGAACAAGCGGCTGGAGACGAGCACGACAGTACGTTATGCCCTGTGTTGGTCCCCTGATTTTTCAGCACAAGCCCCTTGGCTCCATTCCACCTCGTCGGCTCTAACATGTACTAACGTACTGGATGGTATAGATAATGAATATGTCACGGGCGGCTCATCGTCGAGAGTAAAATCCAAATCATCGAGGTCGCATAGCAGTTCATCAAAGTCGAAATCGAAACCGTCCAAGTCCTCTAGTGGGAAAGGCAAGGCACCCGCTCAGGAAGCCATTGACGAGGTTGATGAACACGGTTATGAAAATCGTCATAGCCAACGGAGACCATCTGCATCTACAACCACTCAGCAAACAGAACAAACCTGTAAGTAAGCGGAGAGTTGACGGCATCCTGGTGGGAAATATTGCTAAACTAGCCAGATTATGACCCGAATACTGGCCAATATTACACATATCCACAACCTACTCAAGGTATGTTAAATGCTCTATCGCAACCTGAGTATTAGTATTGACGGAGCTTACTCAACCACAGGAGATCCTGCATCCAACCAGCCCTATCCAAGCGGCTCAGCCGAGGGGGAAGACCCAGAGCTTCAGGCAGCCCTTGCTCAAAGTCGAAAGTATTCGCGAGATCAATACCGGGGTGGCGAGTCGTCATCGGCTGCATACACCCCCTATGGTATGTGACTTGGATTCTGAACTGTAATTCAATTTGAGATTTCTAACGCCCGTAGTAGCTCAAGACGAGGAAGATGACCCTGGGCCAGCCGTGGCCTCCACCAATCAAGAGCACATTGTAGGCACTGGCGGTGAAACAGAGACTCTGGATCCACGTATGATTATTTGCTATATTTAACGCAGGGCCAGACTAACTTGATGCTAGGGTATCGTGTTGCACAGTCTCATATGTTCCAACCCGGCGAGGTAAGCTGACCTACCCAGACTCTAGAACTATGCTAACCACCCGGCAGGTCTTCAAAGTCCTCTGGCCAGAACCAGCAGGAGGAGGCAGTGTAGTTGAAGAAACAGTCTATCGCGATCGATATGGCGGTCAAATATTTGTTCATTTTCGTCGGTTCATCGTGGTCGCAAACGATCGTGGCCACTGCACTTGCATGTAAGTGTCGTGTCCCATCAGGGGTTGAGCCCGGAATCGTGCTAACATTCTAGACCTATCTCTACGTATGGTAAAAAGGGCTGTAAAAAGAGTGGCGTCAAGGCTGAACAACACGGAATTGTTGTTGAAAGTAGCAATCGAAACCCTACTGCCCTACCTGGCGAGCCAGAGCTTGGATATCCTCCTGTTCGTGTGCACATCCACGAGCCGGATGAGCGAATCGCAAAAGAGTCTCGAGTTAATTACTCAAAACTCACGACGGTGGAACATAACGTCAAAGTGCTCTTCATCGGTCGAGTGGTGACCTCAGATTGGGATACTGTCACCGAAGCGGTCAACAATAGCTGGGCGAAGAAGACGCATGTAAAGAAGAAGCATCGCAGATGATGATCCTGCGAACAGCTCTAACATTCACGTTTTAAGGTGCCTGTGTGAGCAGGTCCCTACATCGGGTGTCATGTCATCAATGGCACCTGCATATATACGTTCCTCAGGAGCAGCCAGTTTCTCTGGCATGCACCTGCGAAACTTGTCTCGGCAGCTTCGCAATCTCGAGACAGATACGGTATGGGTTATGCTCGGCGTTCCAAACATGCTGCCTGAAGTATCGTGGTAGCTTCCTGGTTGGAAGCCGAACACCCTCGCAAGTGGCGCGCAGTTCACTAATGTGCGTTTACACGCAAGGTAGCCATTTTCTTCTTGGTCTTGGTTCGGACTTTTGCATTATTCTTTTTCTCTCAATGTCTTCAACAATTTGGAAAGTGTTTCTAAGTACTCTATTATGTTGGACAAGATCTTTTTATATAACTTGACAGCAAGATTTGGTGGAACAGCACACAACTCCTGATATGTTGATACAGATGTGCTTGAAATCTGATGAGTTTGGTCTTTTTTCTTTTCGTTTCATCGTTTTCTCACTCCTTCTCTTGTTCGGTTTTGAGATAGTCCCACAGAGACTTGTCGATGGGTTTAATGAAAGATATGATTCATAAGGATTTGACTGGGGTTTATGATGCGTTTGCAAATGCCTGGTTGGCATCACAATCTTTTACTAGGGGTGTTTCTTTGATACGAGTCCGGTGCAGATAACAGAATGAATACACGAATCTATGTCTTTAAGAAAGGCTTCTTATTATAATGAGTGACTGAGGTTGCCGAGATAGACCCACCCACCGGACGTCGAGCCTCGGCATCTTTTTCCCCGCAACCGGAGGCTTGATTAATGAACAATGAAGCCCCCGGACCTACCCCAGCCCAGTCAAAACTCCGAGGCTCGACGCTCGTCACCAAGATCAAGGGGAGACATTGCTAATCAATTCTCTTTCCTATAAAAGATCTCTTCATCCTTCGATATCCCAGTGAAATATTCCTGCTTCAACCTCATTGTAAAAGTTATAAGATTATTCCATCACACCACACGACCCCTTATACGTCATCCCTTTCACCCTTGTACTTACTATCCACTTCCGTTTTCACAACCACAAATACAAACACAATGGCTGAAGCTCAGTTGGAAGATTTCCCTTCGCTCTTCTCTCTAAAGGGCAAGGTCGCTGTCATCACCGGCGGCTCTCGCGGTCTTGGTCTGCACGCAGCTTCAGCGTAAGTCATTCATTCCTTCATTGCGATTTATCTACAAACGCGACTGACCTTGTCTCAGATTCCTCCAAGCAGGCGCTTCAAAGGTCTTCATCTCATCCCGTAAGGCCGCTGCCTGTGAAGAAGCGTGCAAAGCTCTCAATGCTCTCCCCAACCTTGCACCCGGTGCTGTGGCCATCTCAGTTCCCGCAGACTCATCCAAGTTCGAGGGCGTAGAGAGTCTTCTCGCCCAGGTCAAGAAGCACACTGATCGCGTCGACATCCTCCTCGCAAATGCTGGAGCTACATGGGGTGAGCAGTTTGACACGCATCCTGACTCTGCTTTTGCCAAGGTAATGGACCTCAATGTCAAGGCTGTTTTCAACACAATCCGTCTTTTCACACCACTCCTCGAGAAGAGCGCGTCTCTTCAGGATCCTAGCCGTGTGATTATCACTGCCAGTGTTGCAGGACTTGGTGTCGGCACAATTGGAAAGCAGGGCACATATGGCTACTCCGCCAGCAAGGCTGCTGTGCTGCATCTGGGACGTAACATTGCCATGGAGCTGGGACCTAGACACATCACCGTCAACTCCATCTGCCCTGGCTTCTTCCCTAGCAAGATGTCCAACGGTCTGCTGGAGATGTCCGGTGGTGCTGAGGAGATCGCAAACAGCAACCCCATGCGCCGACTAGGCAAGCCTGAGGATATTGCTGGTGTGGTTGTTTACCTCGCTAGTCGGGCAGGATCTCATGTTAATGGTGAGACGATTGCTATTGATGGCGGTGCCCTGTGGCAGCGAGGCGAGCTCATGGTCGAATCCAAGTCAAAGCTGTAGGGGCAATGGTTGCGAAATGTATGATAAAGAATATCCCTTCATTTATGGGGATATAAGTAGAAGGCAAATACCTCTTGATGTCTATTCATTTATTTTATCTGTACACCGGCCTTGATCTTATTGGTTGACCATCATGAACTCCCCTGCTCTAATGGCTTTCGAGCCATCCAAGTACTTGCTCTATACGTTGACTGCAAAAGACTATCAGGATCATGAATATACGGTGCATGGACACCAGTCTTGTGCCAATCAACAACAAATCCCATCTTCTCTAACAGCGCAATGACTTCGTCATCAGCCAGCTCAAAACTTCCTGGATCAGCGATGCCCGAAGAACTCTTTGGGTCATGCTCTGCTTCACCATCCTGTCCATGAGTACCCGGCGCATTGTTCTCGAAATGCCATAACAGCGGCCCCACGTTGATGAGAACACCCCCAGGCCGAAGACAGTGCCGTATGACCTCCAGGTACCGGATCAGATTGGGTGCTGTGTCGAGGAAGAAGACACTTGCCACAGCATCATACTGTGCTTCGTGGTCCTCATTAGAATAGAGGCAGAGGAAGTCGGCGGCGCACATGGACATTTCTCCAGGGTTGGGCGTGGCGGCTAGAACGGAGGCAGGATGGATGTCCGGGACGCGATAGCTTCTGAGGTGGTTCGCTCGGGTGAGGTGGTTGGAGAAACTATGGACCCAGGGGTAAATAGTATGCTGTTCGGCCGCAGGACAATAGTTTAGAATGTATGATGAGGCGAGGAGTTGATGATAGGAGATCTCGTTGCCTTCAGCTGTGTATCCATTCGCGACCAGATCAAATACCAATCTTCCTAGACCTGCGCCTGGTACCAATACGTTGAGAGGGGATCTATCCGGACATCTCTCCTTTTCTGCCGCAAGAGCTTTCATGATGGGACCATAGCTAGCGTCTCTCTCTGCAGCTCCCGCCTCGGTCCAGTCTCTATAGAACTGACGAATAGTACTCCTCGCCTTGTCAACATCAGAGTGCTTAGCGACGCCGGCCCATTCCTGAGGCATCTTGGGTTCAGGGTCTTCAGGATCTGTCGTCATCATTCGAAATGACTGGAGGCCAATACGGGCAATGGTTCGAGCCAGCTCAGCATTCTCATCAATTGCATCATCAGTCTTCTCCAGAGTGTCTAGGAAGTTGAACGGCGGAGCAGCTAAGAGTTTCCATTGTTCTTGAGGAAGAGCGTAGAAGGCTTGACGACGAAGGTGTGTGACATTGAAGTGGGATACTTTTGCGTATTGGCTATTGAAAGTTCAGTATAAGGAACAGTACCCTTGAGTCAGGTTGTATATGGCTTTGAATAGATGCTGAAGGCCTTATGGGTTGCCAACAGAGAGCGAGGAGAAATGGTCCGACTCAAGTGAGTTTCTTGGGATAACTCACAAGAATGAATCCAAGGCGCTGAATATAACTCGAACCTCTTCAGGATCTTCAGCATTATCCTCTACTCCAGCCCATGCACTGTCATCTGGGACGATTTCGATGTGGTGGCCATCTTCAGATCCGGCCATACCGTGTGGCTTAGAAACGGATTTTGATATGCTGCGTTTGAGTAAGGGTCATGGAGGGGTAGAGAGGAATGCTGAGGGTATAGCACAAGGGCCAGTTTTTTTTGGTTATTTCGTAAACTCTGCTCTTAGAAGTGACTTGGTGAGCTTGGGAAATAGTGAGATTGGAAAATGATGAAAATATCAGAATGGACTCATGCCGCTGACTTTCTACAAGTTGACAATGATTTATGCGGGCCTGGTCCGAATGAGTTTGCGTGGGGAGGAGATCATGTGATTGCGGATTTGAGCAAATTGACGACTCAGAGCAAGCATCATCAAAGGGAAATAGCATCTTGTCTACCTTGTCGTTTGCCGTCTGATCATTGTTTCATTGTCAGTAAGTGCAATCTCGGTACTGTTGTTTTGGCTGCAAATTTGTTAACCTCTTCAGTTACGTCAGACGCTCAGACGAAACACTGACTTCTACTTCACCTCACAACACACCCATACCCACACGCTGCACTCAGAGCTACCAAAGACTCTTACTCACCTTCGTGGGATCGAGAGATTTCTGCTACACCAAGAGACTAAAGTGATACTTCCTCATAAGACACATCATGGCTACAGACGTGATCGAGCTCTCTGTACCCCTCCCCCGCTCTCTAGACACCCGCATCTACCTCCGCCTTTCCACCAAAGCAAAGTCCATTGTGCTATTCCTCACAACAGCAACACAAGACGAGCTCGCCACTCCTGTCTCTATGGGCTCTTTTGTCTACGCTCTGCCCAACGTGAGTACGGCCCGTTTCTGTCCCGGTAATACTTCGCTGACCTTCCTAGCGGCTTGACCAGGCACAGCCATTATCTACCACGCTCTATTCTTCAGAGGCATCATTGGAGTTTACAACACGTTTGGCGAAGCTTTTGGCTCGGAAATCACAGCTCCCGGTGTACGTCACTAACTCGATTAGTTTTGCTAATGCCGGTATGGGAGGCACGGTGGAAGAGGAGATGGAGGCCTTCAAGACCATTGTTCAGGTTGTGTCAGAGAGGCTACAGCTATCGGGCCCCAAGCCAACGGTGGCTTGATAGGACAAGGATAACTTACCTGCAACTAGGTCAAGGAATACGAAGTTCTAAGACTTAACAAATGACTATCTTGGAAGAAGAGCTACGGACTTGCACCACCCACCACCTTAGCCTCTCCGTCAATACCTGATATCTATCCTAGGAACTCTCTCACCGACAGAACCAGGACCACTCAGGATTATGGTGCACAGCTTCATTCATGTCACCGAGTAACATAGCTGTCAAGAGAGTCCTGGGAGAATTACGGCATGGACCACAAACAATCCCGGATGAATCCGCAGTGGCACACAGAGGCAGACGGCTTGAGGCAAATGTTTGTCACCAGGCGGGATTGCGCGTGTAACACCATTAGACCCAATCCTTCTGTTCTTGTGCTGAGAAGGCATGCCTCCGGGGGCAAGAAAACACCGAACCTTGATATAAGGTGTCAAAATAAACTTAGCAAAGAGTACCCTAAGCTTAGGCTAAATTTGCCTAAATAATATTATCACTTAGGGTCAAGGTCTTGAGCTTTCTTTCCTCCCCTAGGCATGTTATCGCTGTGCCTTTTTTTAATAGATATTACACCGAAGAGAAACAATAAGGGGTCTGCGAGTACACGAGCTATCTATCTCGCCTCCACGACCACGGCTTCCAATGCTTCAGGACTTTCTCTGTATTCCCAAATTACTTGGCCAAGGCGACTAGACCTCGCCATGTTTCTCGGGCATAAGCCAGCGGCAGACCGCTTTATTGCGATAGCGACTGGCCAGGAAATAGAGTCGCACAAGTAATACACGAAGTTCAGGCTGGTGCAACACCAAGCTGCGCGGCACTTACGACGATACTGATCCCGTAGTGACGCTTTGGTGAAACTGGACTATCAGATGAAGGGTGATACTCTAGATAGCTTATCGGTTCATACGGGAGACTACTAGACTACCTAGGCAAGAAACCAGCTAAACATGGATGCTGGTCTGGATATTTGACTTTCTAGAGTTGCAAATATGGCCTGAGTCTGAACACAGTATTACGGGTAGCTCAAGGCCGTTGGATGCTGTCTCAGGCAGGGCCGCGGCCCGTTGCAGGCGTTAATATGAATGGATGATTCAAAGCCATATCGATTTTGTTGAATTGGTTGGATAAAGGGTTCATGCAAGCGGCTATTTCGTCTCTTCGACTCTTCTAACCAGCCACGCATGAGACGAGACGAGACGAACGAACGGTATATAAGATGACATTTCTTTCTTGCTCTAATAAAATAAAATAGAATGGAACCCAACATTTTATTCTAGCTCCGGTGATCCCCGCAGCAAAGAAAAAGAGCCCGCTCTTGCATTAGATTTCTTCAGTGACAAATTTTCTCGGTTTCTGCGGGCGGGTTATCGTTATCGCACCCCGCGCCACTAGAAACCCAGATTGGCACGGTCTTATTGGGTGTTTCAGGCTACTTTACAGTGCGTCTGATACGTGACATGCCCCCATTGTGTCTCTCATCTCGCCATCGCTAGTCTCAAAGGGGCAATTTCTTGGTTGTATGCCCTTGACCTTGAGCCTCCGCTCTCTCCTCGAAACTACACCAAAATCTTTGTCCCCTACTCTTGGTGGGTTGCTGAGCTTCTTCAACTCTAACTCGAGAGATCTGCATCAACCTCTCCCCCTTGATTGTCTTTTTCTTTGCAGCTGCGTCTCAAGGCGCACAGCGTTTTTTCATCCTTTTTCTTCGATATTACCATCAGGATCGCGATAAGCAATCCCAACCAACAAAGGCGAGGCTGCTAGGCGTCTCAGACAGTCAGAAACCAGGTGAGTAGACTTGAGTTGACTTGAGCTTTGCAGTGTGGCCCCACGGTGTTGCACATCCCTGTATCGGAGGGGCACATTCGCTTCTCGCCCACTGCCATCCCATACGACGACGGACGGAGACTCTATCCCACTATACATACAAGCAAGAGTCCACCGCTGGTCTCTCGTCTCTCGTCTCCCCCCTCTCCCAGACTCCTTCACAATTGCCATCTCTATCTTGCCCTGGCTCAAGGTTTGCGCATTGCTGACTGTTGACGAGTAGGAGCTGTGGAGCTTAGCTCATGTGAAAGTCGTTCACAAAGTTTCCATCTCGCTTCTGCGCCCCTCTTCTCTACATCCGCCTTCTGCGACGTTCAGAGACGTTGTCAACACTACCGCAGCCATGTCCTCCTGGGAACCCGCCCCCGATTCGCTGCAGCAGCTTGCTGCTTGCCTCAAAGACTCCCTCAGTGGTTTCGACAAGAGTGCTCAGAAGCAGGCTGACTTGGTAAGACTCTACTTGTCAATCGCAATTCATGCGCCGCCCCTCAGCTAATCATCCTTTGCAGATGCTTCAACAAGCCAAGAACTCACCCGATATCAACAACTATCTCGCATATCTCTTCTCAAGCTCTTCGCCTCCCAATGGCCTTCAATTTTCCGAGCAAGATTTCCACCTTGTGCGCTCCGCCGCGGGCATCATGCTCAAGAATAATGTTCGATCCGAATGGAAGACCATCCCCGAATCCAACCTCCAGCTCATCAAGCTCGCGGTCCCAATGTGCCTGCAAGACAAGAACTCCCAGATCCGCAACTTTGCTGGAAATATTGCTACCGAAATTGTCCGCCGTGGAGGCTTGCTCAGCTGGCCGGAATTACTTCCTCAGCTCCTCGACTTGGTCGGCAACACATCCGGTCAAACTTCGAATGAGGCGCAAGAGGGTGCTATGTCTGCTCTGGCCAAGATCTGCGAGGACAACTTCCGTCAGTTGACCAAGGAAGTTAATGGCCAGCGACCCCTCAATTATGTTCTTCCCCATTTTATCGCGGCCACCAAGAGCCCTCTGCCCAAGGTCAGGGCTGGTGCGCTTACTGCCATCAATGTCTTCACACCTCGAGAATCACAGGCCATGCTTAACTCCATCGATGACCTCCTCCAGCATCTGTTTGTTCTGGCCAGCGATGACAATGTCGATGTTCGACGACAAGTTTGTCGTGCCTTTGTTCACCTAGTTGAGACGCGACCCGACAAGCTCCAGCCGCACATTAGTGGCCTCGTCGACTATATAATATCCCAGCAGAAAGGCGACGATGAGGACTTGGCCTGTGAAGCGGCCGAATTCTGGCTCGCCGTGGGAGAACATGACAATTTGTGGAGGGCATTGGAGCCTTACATCAATAAGATTATTCCTGTCCTTCTCGAGTGCATGGTCTACAGTGGAGAGGACATTGCCCTCCTTGGAGGTGCTTCAGATGACGAGGAGGAGGAGGATCGTGAAGAGGATATCCGCCCTGCATTTGCCAAGAAGGCCCTTGCACGAAAGGCCAACGGTGAGGTCAGCGAATCCGCAGATCAAGCCCAGAATGGAAATGGCTTCGAGAAGCTCGGTGGAATGGACGACGATACCGAGGAGGGAGAAATCGATGACTACGATGACTACGATGACGGTGATGACGCCAACCCTGACGAGCGATGGACCATCCGCAAGTGCTCCGCCGCCGCTCTCGATGTTTTCGCCCGCGACTTCCAATCTCCTGTTTTCGAGGCCATTTTCCCCTATCTGTCCCAGCATCTGAAGCACGACGAGTGGCCTCAGCGAGAAGCCGCTGTTCTCGCGTTGGGCGCCGTTGCTGATGGATGCATGGACGTTGTTGTCCCTCACTTGCCTGAGCTTGTGCCTTACCTCATCTCTCTTCTCGAGGACTCGGAGCCTGTTGTGAGACAGATCACCTGCTGGACCCTTGGTCGATATTCGGCATGGGCTGCCAATCTGGAGGATACAAATAAGGATCAGTTCTTCCTCCCTTTGATGGACGGTATCCTCCGCCATATGTTGGATAAGAACAAGAAAGTACAAGAAGCTGCTGCATCGGCATTCGCCAACCTCGAGGAGAAGGCAGGTAAGATCCTTGAGCCTTACTGTGGCCCCATTATCCAGCAATTCGTCCATTGCTTTGCCAAGTACAAGGATCGCAACATGTACATCCTTTACGACTGTGTACAGACACTGGCAGAGCATATTGGACCTGCCATGGCCGCACCTGAGCTGTCTGGCAAGCTGATGCCTGCCTTGATCGACCGATACAACCGTGTATCAGATCAGTCACGGGAGCTGTTCCCTCTGCTAGAGTGCCTCTCTTATGTGGCGATGGCACTCGGTGATGCGTTCGCTCCCTATGCTGAAACTATCTTCCTTCGATGTGTCAACATCATCCACGTCAATCTTGAGCAGACTTTGGCCGCTGCTGGTAACCCCATAGTTGACCAGCCTGACAAGGATTTCCTGGTAACAAGTTTAGACCTTCTTAGTGCTATCGTTCAAGCTCTCAACGACGATAAGTCGGCTGCGTTGGTCAAGAGCTCTCAACAGTCCTTCTTTGAGCTCCTCAGCTTCTGCATGGAGGACCCCAGTGACGAAGTTCGACAATCTGCTTATGCACTGTTGGGAGATTGCGCTAGATACGTCTATCCCCTGCTACAGCCATACCTTGGCACAATTATCCCTATCCTGCTGAAGCAGCTTGATATGGACAGCGTCCTCGATGAGGATATGGATAGTGGGTTTGGCGTCGTTAACAATGCCTGCTGGTCGATTGGTGAAATTTCAATGCAACACAAGGAGCACATGGGTCCATGGGTTCAAGAGCTTCTCCAGCGGTTTGTTGAGATCATGACCAACCCTCGTGTCCCCAAAGCGCTAAACGAAAACGCTGCCATGGCTTTGGGACGCCTCGGCCTCGAGAACTCGGAACAGCTTGGACCTCATCTTTCAACTTTTGCAGAGGAGTGGATCAGCATCATGAATGAGGTCGATGCAACTGAAGAGAAGGCGACAGCTTTCAAGGGATTCTCTATGATCGTGGGACGAAACCCCCAGGCCATGGAAAAGGAGTTGCTAAACTATTTCACGGCCATTGCCCGTTATCGTGACATCGACTTGAAGAGCCCAGTCAGGCAGGAGTTGCATGATGTCTTCCAAAAGGTCAGTGCCTACTGCATTACAGTGGTTTCTTTATCACATAAGCTAAAGTTTTTCAGGTCATCGATATCTACAAACAAATAATTCCAGAGTTTAGCAACTTTGTTGGCCAGATGCAGCAACGAGACCGACAAAATTTGGAGTCGCATTACACTCTGTAGTATGGGATGGCGACTGATCTCGGCCTTCTTATTTCTTGAAGGAATGACTCAAGGGTGGCAGTGGAAGTGGTTCGTCGTTGTTACATAGTTATAGATAGCACTGATTCTTTTTATCGCAGTAGATAGCATGGTACGGGTTGCATGGCGAAGTTCAAGGGGGTTTATGAAAAGTCTTGGAGCCATTTTGATTGATGTTGAATGATGGTATGAACTGACGAGGGTCGCAGTGCGACATTGACATTGGGAGGACGAGATACCTGATGGAAGCTGGAACTGGGAAATGGGACTGGGAGAATGGCAACACGTTATGCCATAAGTAGATAGAAGTACTCGGATTCATGGGAGGAGTTGATGGGCATTTATGGGGTCCGAGTTAGATAGATAGGCTACTTTATTATGCTGCTGCAAGCTGGAGCAATGTCACTCAAGTGTAGAAGATCACCAGATGGAAGATAATATCACTGTGGCAGTTGAACCCCAGAGTTATTTCGTTACCATCTTGTCACATTACAATGTCAGACACCTGATCAAATTTCAAGTCTCAACGATGGTGTTTTTGGATCTATCGCACTAAAGCACTTACGACTTATTGGCAACTTGTGAATTGCCTTTAAAGAACTTGGTGATACTGTAGGGTAGCCATTGCCAACCACGACCAACAAGGAGAGAAGTATTTCGGTATCAGTTCCATGCTACAGCATAAGAAACGTTGCATCGTCCCTCATATCAAGCACATGACCATCGTCTTACGTTGATTAATGAGTCGTGAGAACTGCCTGTCGAGGCGGTGGGTGATCGAGTACTGATTCTATAGCCGACTCATGTGCACCTGAGGCCGTGCAAATCACAAAAGAGTCATTTACAATGTAGTAGCTCTCGTTAGTGAATGGGCCGGGCGCTCTAACATTGGCCTTCAGCGTCTGTCTATGCGGTGATAGTATTGGTGTAACCAGCAGTGACAAGTTGGACACTCACAATTTGCCAAGACCGCGGAGTCTCCATCGATGCCACAATATAATGCCCAATGCCCTTTGACTCGTGTAGCCACTTAGGAATGATTATCCCTTGAACCCCTGAAGTTGTCGTGAGGGAGGAGACAGTTGACTGCCGGGTTTTCGCATGTACAGTATGCATCAACACTAGGAAAACACGGAAGATCGCCCCTGTTCTAGTTTCCGCTTTCAGACTTAGAGTTTCTGGAAACCAGCTCTTGCAGGGCTTGATTCGATGAAAAGGTGTTGGGAGAGGTGCTTTGACATTCCCAAACCTAACCCAGGAACTCGCTAGCTACGCGAGTCGGTACTAAGAGCCGAACAGTTTGGACGATCTTTTAGTCTGCCAGTCTATCAATAGTCTCGAGATATGTAATAGTCTCCGTATAGACGATATACTTGCCCTACCGGGCAAGGACACAGACGTTGCGAATACGCTGGGGAAATTGAAGCTCAATAGCGGAGACAAAAGGCCCAAACTCTTGGCTGCATCAGTCAGAAGAGACCAACGGTGTACCGAGGATAACTAGACTGAAGCTAGACAGTCATGAAGTTGGAAATATGATCTGCTGAGTGACAACAGTTCTACTATGGAATCAATTTGTGTGTCAATCGGACTCCAGCCATGACTCGCGTAGCGTGCGTGCATAAACACCAACGATCTGAAATTGGCGAGATGCTCACGAGAGACTTCTACACGTCGCGAATCTTTGACTGATGATAGTCAGCGAGAGGAGCAGGTATAGATAGAAACACTAACGGCAAAGTCACCACGGGGGTCTTGCCATCACAAGACTCATAAGGCTGGATATTAATGGCCGCTTCCAGAAAGCTCCGTGCATGGTGACATACACTCTCAAAAAGCCACCCCGTATGCCATGCCCTTTTCGATTCGTGGCCTCAGGGAGGTTCAAGGAGATGCAGGCCATTGCAGGGAGAGCAAAGTCTCTCGGTCAAGAACAGGTGTTTGGTCTCTTGCCTCGACTTAGATATGTACGTAGTAGCTAAATTTATCCTGGTGGCTTGCTTTCTTCTGGCAAGCTTCTGTAGCTGAGATGCATCGATCCGTCTGGACACAGAATATAGCCGTCACCGCTGGCTTCGGGAACTATCCGTATGATTCCGTCCAGTGATATCGTCGTACTGATATGGTATACTCGGCAACCGGGGCAGACTCACCGGACCCTGCATGGTCCACGGTTAAGGCCAAGGTCCTTGTGAGGCTCGCGATATCCAATAATCAGAACCAGAGATCAACGTCTAGCTCAACGTCGTTCGTAGACAAATATGCCATAGTACATAGACCATCAGGCAGGGGCGTACAAGAAGACACAAGTCTTGTGATTCTGTTCTGTTCTGGTCTGTTATGACCAGGCCTGCCATAACAGTATGTACTGTACTGCTTCTCTCCCAGCCAAGCCAAGCCGAGCCAAGCCATAACAGGAGAGTAAATGAGAGGGCAACTCACCCAGTGAAACCACCACCAGAGGCTCTGGTGCTGCTGTGCCGTTTAAGCTTTAGGACTAGATTCGTTGACCTTGATTGGAAAAGCTGTCCACACCGTGTCATGGTCCCCTGCCCGTGTCGCCATTAATAGCTCAGCCTCGCACTACTACCCCTGTCTTATGCATGGCATGGTCCGCCCCGGGTATCCATTTTCCCCATTCTGACGCCCTTTTTGACCAAAGAACCCTGTCAGTTTATTCCCTAGCCTATTCGGCAACCCTGTCCGACGCTGTGAGCCATGGCCTGGTCTAGAACAACAAATGCATTTTTGGACATCGTCATTTCAACATTCGAGTGGCTGGGTCATCAATAGGCAAAAACCAACTCGTGGGAAACAAGGAAAAGGACCCTGCGACGCTGTTGGTGACATGACATGTCATGACATGCTCTCCACGCTCCCTCCGGGCTTTTGAGAAGAGTCCGCAGCTCCGACCGATTCTGGCAATGGCAATAAAACCCAACCAAGTCCAAGCTGTTGTGGGCCATCCCCAGCGCCTGAATGGGCGGGCTTCTGGCTACAACAGTAACATTCGCGCAATCAGTCGTTGCCGATGAAACTTGGCCCATGGACTCGGGTAACGGGTTTAGCCCCTTGCCAGTGACAGAGATTGAAGGACTGGAATACAAGTAAAACATTTCTCATCGGATCCTCCTGGTCAGGCGCCGTCGTGTGCCATGTGGTCTCGAGCCCGCACCACTAGCTTCGCCCTGATATGATGGCCTCAGTAGTCTATGTACCGTCTGTCTAGCCGAGTCAGCAATGAGATCTCCAAATGATACGTTACTGTTAGCCGTCAAAAGACCCTGAGGGCTGAGGCCCAGCCATCTATGTCATTCCTGTTTGACCCTGCGTCCATATTCTGCCACAGGCGTTGCATCTTTTTCACGGCTTTGATCCCGCGGCGCGGGTTTGCCGGCGCCCCTACACAGATTCGCATGCGCCTAGCTTGCTCAAGGGATCAGCCTCTTTCAACTTGGTCCTTTTCGTCTATTGGCGCGCAAGTGAGTTACCCCATAGATAGCCTTCATGTATTGTGCCCCGTTGATGTTTATGGTGCACCATAGAATCTGATACAAAACAAACATGTTGCTGTCTAGCATTTCTCCTTTTCACTACTCCGTATAGGGCCGGTCTTTTCCGACTTCAAACTGTGATCGGCAGTCTAAAGTTTTGGCTATTCAACTTTGGAGGGGCATCAGATCATCGGGAGCCAGAAGTCGTGACTTTGAGTCAACTTCTCTGTCATTAGTACTCTGTAGTTGGGTCATACGCTGGTAATTGTGAAAATGGCCCACGCCCTTGTCTCGGGGCCCACGCTGTTGTATCGTTCTCAAGTAAAAGGTCAGGCCAACTAGCTAGGAAGCAGCTTCAATGGGGTAGGTCATGGGACAACCTAAGAAGTGATGTTGATCTGCGATACTTACTGCCCGAGAGGGCCTCAACAGCATCGGCTTTCAGTGATCGTCTCGCCTGGGTCTACTGAACGCGCAATCGGATCTGAAGTATACAGACTCGATGCTACGAATCCGAGTTCCCGCGTATCACACCGGAGACTTCAGACTGTGATACCAGAGTCAATGTGTTACAGGCCCAAGGTGCGGTCAACCCAAAACGCCGTTCAAAGCACCAGGTAGGTTACTTGCAGACAGACTGTGGTGATTGCGAGACTGGTGAGAATGCCTCCGCTGTGTGTCTCCTATCTTCATTATCAAAGCAAGAGCTGAGAACATCCAACCAGTTGTTGGAAGTAGTAACTCGAACAAAACACAGACATCAGAATATACTTCAATTCTTGGGAGATTGGAAAGTGGGTTTGGCATCAAAAGGCTGCGGTTGTCAACGGCCAGTCCTCTCCATAGGATAGGACCGGGAACGATATTCTATTATTATCGTGCGGCATATCTTGCGGCACGAGCCCTGTGGCCATGCCTCAACAAATCAGAAGCATGCTTCGGCATGGCTGCTGTAACCAGAAGCAGTGGACTTGCAAATGAACCAGCTGCCGAGGATAAGATCTTCTTTGGCTCGTAGCAAAGGCCAATCTCTAATTCTGGCAGTCTGATCAGGGGATCATCGGCAATGGGGCGAGATGTCTGAGCCCGAGCCCGTTGTAAACCTCACTCTTTGAGATGTTGATCAAGTCTTATTAACGCCCGAAGCTGTCACATTCTCGCAGACCTGCGGATCCGTGTGGGGACTATTGGCATTGACCCAATATTTGTCCCGTTGAGGTAAATCGAGAGTGCCGCGGCTCCGACAGGGTCGTGATGATTCGGAATTTCCGTGAGCGGGCTGCGAGCCGAGGCAAAAGACCTTGATTTTGAAATACATAAATATGAATCTTGTGTCTGAGGCTATTGGCGGTCTTCGAGATTAAGTCGTGAAGTGATAACAGCTAACATGGATATTTCCTCTTGCCTCTGTACTGGTGAAGTAACTAGGCCGGGCGTGGATCCAAAAGGGATCGTCGGTCTGCATGCATCTCGATCTTCCGTGCCTCC